GGTTCAAAAAGCATGTGGGCGCAGTACTTCAGGACACGGTTTAGTGGTCATAGTAGTGTTGGATTGACAGTTTGACTTCACAGTTTTAAAGGTCTTTTCGAGCCCAAATGATTCTACGATAGCTGTCATATGGCTGGGGAAATGAGCGGAGCTGAAACTCAGACCTGTGCTTTAAGCATCCTAATGCGTGAACTTAATATTTCTGTGCTCTGATTTCTCTGTGCTGTGTTTTGATTTCAGTTAAGTGTGTATACTACCACACGGTCAAATATTGGTGCTGAGAGTAATATAGATCTGGTCTTGAATGTGGAGGATTTTGATATTGAGTCCAAATTTGAAAGGTAGGTATCCACACTACAAGTTTCTGATTTCATTCTGAAGTACATACACTAACTAATAGTTACATGTATGGAAGCATGTATGAAGTGAGATAGACTGTACATGACAGTTGTGTTGAAAGAGTAGAGTTGGTTTTGCGTTCTTTGTTATAGGATTAAACCTATTTTTACACACTGTATTGTTAATTCGGTGTTTGGACTTGGAAGTCAATAGGACTTGGAAGTCAAGCTGTGTTCTCTTTTTTATGAAATAAGATTGTGCCCTTAGACAAATTTCTGAGTATAACGCTGTAGTCTACGTATGCTTCTCTACAGTTCAAATGATTAGAACTGCTTGTTCTATTCTTAATGTTTCCTGCCTCGCTTTTTCGTTGTTGTCTAAAGTAGTCACCGTATTCGTACCTCTCTCGTTCCAAAGTCTCTTCTTTCACATTCCACAGTTTCTGTAATTAAAGAACACGTTGCTCTGCAGTTCAGGTCATATTAAACTTCATCTCTGACAGACTTGAAAATACGAGAGCTGTTTTACTGACACAGTCTGCTCAGCCACTCAGAGTATTCAGAGAAAAATAACCTGAGCAAACTTACAGGAATAAAGGAGGCATTATGCAAGTAGGATGGTTTTTTTGGCTAACATAAGGGGAGTGACTTCATGGCTTGGGGCTCCAGTCTGGGGTTCTGTGTGTGGCATGCCACAGGTGAAGAGATATTTTATTAATGCACAATGCTTGGCAAAACTTGGTGATTACCTTAATTTTTTTATCATGCATGCAATCTGACATACTGCACACGGAAGGCTGTTTTCTCCCAGTGCTGGAGTAATTTTGGCCCTGTGACCTATTGGCAGGGGAATGCAACAAAAGAACTGATGATGCAGCCCTGTGTTATCTATAAGGATGAATTAGACAAAGATTGAAGTGTCTTAAGATAACGGTAAAACTTTAGAAATGAAAGTATTATGACACCTACTGAAGTATATAAATTGGTCCCGTCTAGCCATGGCTTATTAGGACATTCTAGCAAGAACCAATTGTTTTGTGCCAGACCCCAACCTTTCCCTGCTCACTTCCAGATCACCTTCAGTGATCCTTATATGTAATAGCCAAATGTTTCAACATGTGCTATGCCACCTCATCATTTATTTTTTATTTTAGGACAGTGAATGTCTCTGTACCAAAGAAAACCCGAAATAATGGCACATTATATGCATATATATTTCTTCATCATGCTGGCATTTTGCCCTGGCATGATGGTAAGCAGGTGCATATAGTAAGCCCTCTGACCACCTACATGATCCCCAAACCAGAAGAGATTCATTTGCTCACTGGGGAGTCAGCCACACAGGTAGGTGGGATTTCTGTATATTTTAACAACTGCAGAAAAGTAATTTCTTGTATAGAGGCTTCTATTATTAGCATCTCCTGTGCTTGCATCTTTACACTAATGATGATATTAAAAAAATAAACCAAAACCTGTCCTCTTGATTATCAGCACGTGCCTTAGTAGAAGAGTGCTCAGCAGAGCAGAGGCAGAGCTCTCTGTAACCCTGACTACTAGTAAAACACTTCCCTGGGTAACATGAGTTAGCTCTTTAAGGATCCATTGCTTTTGCTAGAAATACTGTGTTGCTCCCTAACAGCCTGATGCTGCTTTCTACAGTGAATAGAATTCATGTGAAATAATATGCATTGCTTTTATAAACGGAGATCAGAACTGATTTTGATGTTGTTGAGTGACCAGTGTCCAGTTGCTCCTTTTCCTTTAGGATATTCTTACTTTCCACTTCAGTTCAAGAGAATAAGATAGTATCCTTTGACAAATGCTGTGGTTACTCACTGGAGGAGAAAAATGCAGTCTTATTTAATACAATACTTGTGAACAGCTGCCATGTCTCCTGTTAAGTGGAGCTTGAGCATTTCACTCTCTTTTCTTTGGAATTTGAAATACACCTGTAGCTTGCAGTGCTGTTTCTAAATCCTGTCAGAATAAGGTTGAAAATCAATTGAAGCTAGAGTCCAACACCAAAAGTCAGAACAGGTGGTGTTTATCCAAAGAAAACCAAGTAGAATGTCCTGGAGATAAGCATCTGCTGAAAGCTAAGGTTGTACTCAGTTTCAGCACTGTTTTGCACAGCATTTGGAAGCTCAGAAGTTCAAAGCAAATGGTCTGATTTTCTTACTCCCAAAAATGAATGGGTTGATCATCCACATCCATTTGACTGTTTTGAAGTAACAGCTGATTACCCTACAGTCCTTATTTCAAAGTGACATTTTCTGACTAATGTTGACATTCCTAAGGTATTAAGATTAATAAGCTGAATGTTCATTCTTGATGAGCAAGGCTGTGAACGGGCACTGAAGTCTTTCCCTGTCAGATTATGGGGGGGCCTTTACAGTTGGTTCTGTCGTATTTGAACAAAATACTTGATCTGGGCAAAATTAAGGTAAAGTGTTTCTTAGTGGGCTTCTGGTTTTTTGGTATAGTTAATGACTCTATATTTTTTGTGAGTTAGAGTATTATACTGCTGAAAATTCTGTGTTGTTTAGCAGTATGTGTGTTGATTGTATTTTTAAAGCAAATTGAAGCAGAAAAGCAGACCAATGCTCTAGATGAACCTGTCTCTCACTGGAGGTCCAGATTAACCTTAAACGTGATGGTGGAAGACTTTGTGTTTGATGGGTCATCCCTCCCTGCCGATGTCCACCGGTACATGAAGATGTAAGTCGATGACTTCATTTTGGTAGACCTGTTATTATAAATTGACTGCACATTTCTTCATAAATCCTCACTGACCTCCTTTAGTACTTTGTTTAAATTGGCAGTTGGGAGACAAGAATAAATGCTCTTAATGCTTGCATCTCGATAGTGATGATCAGTGAGGTCTTGTGGACTAGAAAACCTTACTGGTGATATCTTGCTCCTGCGCAGCTCAGCCTTTAGGATTCTTTTCTGTATGGAGTTACCATAATGAGACAAAGCAGAACCACAAGGGTGCAAGTGAAATGCTACTGCAGACTTCATAGCTTTGTGTTCTCAGATCTTCCCTCTTGCCTTTAAAGCAATAACTGTCCCTTGACTTTTCCACTTATCTTTCATCTGGAAAGTATCTGTACAGCCTGCAAGTGCTGAAGAGGCACGACTGGTCTCCTGTGACATCTTTTTTCTCTCTTTATGATTGGCTTTGTTTTACTTAGACAATATGTGTTCCAATATTATGTAATCTTCTCAAGAAGATACTGAAAAACAGGGATAAGTTTTTAGGCCACTGAATGCAGGAAGTAGCTTCAGTTCACAGCTTGCTTAAATAACTTCCAGTGTTAACACCATAAATAGTGCTGCATTGGCTTGTGCTGCTGTATGTTGATGCCTTTCTCTGCAAGTATCCTGTTAAATCCAATAGTTGCTTATTCAGCAGATCCTGGAGTTCTGGGACTGTTTCCTTGCCAGAACTGATGGAGGTAGTAACTCAGAAGACAGGCCCATAACAAGAAAGGGTTGGTCTGGGGCTGATGAGTGAGGATATTTGTTCTATTCATGTTCAGATACAGACCAATGCTGGTTTGTCACTGCATTTTACAGGAAGTAGTTTGGATATGAAATAGCCTGCTGTAATTCAACTAGCAGTAGCTTTAATTGTAGTAGTTATATAAAAATCTAAACTGCTTCACTTATATAACTGAGCTGTATTTCTGAGCCTCAATTTAGTACTTCTCTATATTACTGTTGCCTGTTGTATATTTAGTATTAGCATGCATAGACACTTCTTTCTTTTGTCAACAACTAAAATTCAACTTCCAGGCTTTAAAAAGCTCTGTTAGGCTGATTCCATAGACTTGTGCTGTGAACACCGCTGTGGTTAACTGCATTTCCTCTGGAGAACTTTAAGAATTTGTCTCTCTCAGGGTATTAGGCTAAACACTTTTCTAACACACTGACAAAGCAATTGCATATAGGTCATATTTGCTAAATGACTTTCCAGTGATCAGTTTTGTAGAGGGCTCAAAGGCTGGGCAGATTCTGTAGATATGCAGGTTGTTGAGGTGGTAGAGCAATCCAAACACAGCATCTGTTGAGGAGAAGGCAGAGAAGATTTCTGCTCCTGGTGTGCTCTCTCCAGTGGTATCCAGCCTTCCTGATCAGTCCCATGCTAGCTAGAACAATGATGTTTCCAAGCTGAGAGATGTCATTGTGGGTACAGAGGGGTGGAGGACATGGTGGAGAGTTGTCATTGTTGCAGTAGGAGAGGGATACTTGAGACTGAGGATGCCAATATACAGTAGTAATCTTAAACACATTTCTTTCCAACAAAGTTTTTAATTTCCTCTACCTTGGTCATGCAACAGCTTCAGCATCATCACCTACCAATATCATTTGTCTTTTTTTTTTTTTTTTTTTTATTCTGTCTTTCCATAGAAAAGTAAAAACAAACTAAAAGGAAAAATGACATGTTTAGTTTTTTATAGACATTTCTCAATGAAAGACTCCAGGCTGTTGGGTTCTTTCTTGCTGTGTGTTAAAAGAAAATGTGCCTGAAAAGGTGGTGGGAATGATCTACATGGGTAGATCTGAAAGTGATGAACGAGTATTAATTTGAATAAAAGTAGTTTTCTTTTTAGATCACTACAGTCATAAAATCCATGTTTAAACATCCTAGGGTTCAATTGGGGAAGACAGTGCATTACCTTCCAATATTATTTATTGATCAGCTAAGCAACAGAGTGAAAGATTTGATGGTGAGTAATAGAATATCTTTAATTACATTTAACAGTGTTAACGATAATCTTCAATGTTGTTGTAATTAAGATTTTGTCACAGGTTGTTTGCTGTCATGAAAAAGTATAAATTCACAGAAGTGCTCTATCAGTGACTGTTTAACTTAATGGGGACAACTGTGGTTACTCAGAGGCTAGGTCTGGGTTTTGAGGCTCCCCTCTGGCAGAAGGATCTACCAAGCACTCCCTTCTATTCCACCAAAAGATACTTGGATTCCATTGTTTCTGCCTTTTGGGTGGATATACAAGAGTGTATGGAGGAGATCACTGCAGCACTAGCTGTGGTGGAAGCAAGCTCATGAGCAATTTGACTCCCTAAGCTAAAGAAGTTGTGTTAGTATACCAGAGTGGCTTCTGGTACCTTCTAGGGAAAGGAGCATATTGAACAAGCTGATACTGGGCCTACACTGAGGTAAGTCAGTAGCTCTTATCTCCAAAAAATTCACTCGTCATTAAATTTTCTGGTAGTGCTCTCCTGTCACTTCAGAGTAACTTGAGCACCTGAAAACTTGGTGTTGCAGTATGTACCATGATTTTGGGCACTCAAACAAAACATGACTTTAGAAATTTCTATAATGGGATGGATGAGGTTGGATGAGATTTCTGGAGGCTGCTATTCCAATGCCCCTGCTCAGAGTAAGGTCACCTAGAGTGGGTTGCTCAGGACCTTCTCTGGTTGGCTTCTGGATATATCCAAGGATGAGGCTGCTATAGCATCTCTGGGCAACCTGTTCTAGTGTTCAGTATGTGGTAGCCCCCTGCACCTAAACTGTGTCCGTCTTGGCAGCTCTTAGTTCAGCCCTGCAGGTCTTTTCAGTTGCACCAACTGGAATTTGGCAGTCGGAGTTACCGAGAACAAAAGTCTTGGGGAACGCCTCAAAACTGTTAAATGAGCATGTCTGGATTCAGCATCTTTTTATTTTTTTTCTTTGTTTTAAACCTGTTTGAGAGACAGTCAACTATGATGTAGAAGGTGTTGAGGAGGCGGTTTAAGACTCCCTCCCCCCCCCCAGGTTAAAGAGGCCCCTGGTACTTCGCATAACTAAAGAGTAGACGATACAGGAGGATTAGCTGAAATTTATTTCTTTCAGAGCAGGAAGATTTCTGTGATGCCCCATGTCCCAAAGTTTGCAGGCAGGGTAGCTTGCTTAGCAATTGCTGTTATGTTTTCATCAGTAGCATCATCTTGCTTCCCCACCTTTTGTTTTGGTATGAATTGCAGCTTCTCAAAATCAGAATGAGTTTAGTAAAGTTCTTACTGCAGCCTTTGGGATAGAAGTTTTTCCTTTTTTTTGATCTTCTATTTTAAGTAATCTTAGCACATACATTCTGAGAAGAACAGTAGAGAGAATTACCTTAAGCACACTTTTCCCACTTGAGCTGAGACCAAGAGAGGGAACTTGATGTAAATGTCTCAGAGGCATTTGCATGCAGTAACAGGGAGGTTGCTGTAAGAACTTGAGTAAAATAGATAATTTAACATTTCTTCGGAAAAAACCCAAAGACCTCAAGCGTAGTATAGAAGTCTAAGATCTTATTCCTGTTCAAAAAAACCAGACTGACTTCTTAAAATTGTTATTAAATCATAGTGTGATGTAATCACTTTCCTATATATTTTTAAAATGAATAATTTTTGCAATTTTTCTGCTATTAAAAATGAAACAATCTTTTTGAAATACAGGTTATAAATCGTTCGACAACAGCACTACCTCTTACAGTGTCGTATGACAAAATATCTCTTGGAAAACTCCGATTTTGGATCCACATGCAGGATGCTGTGTACTCCCTACAACAGTTCGGTATGTTTTTTATCTTTCATGACTAAAGGTCAAAAAACCCCAAGTGAACCCTCAATTTTTTTTCTTGTAAGTGCATAGATGTTATTTTAACCCTTTTTTTCTGTTTAGTTGGTGAAAAGGTTTAATTCTACAAATCTTACGTTGTTTTACCCTAAAGTAAAGCTGTAAACATCATGTTGACACGTGGTAGGAAATGAATACAGAGGTGAATTAACCATTTTTAAAACAAGTTTTATTTGGATGGTGCTACTGTAAAAGCTTGAGAGGCCATAACAGAGGAGAGGGTTTTTGCCACAGGTTTGCCCTATGATCTATGGAGTAGAAAAGTTGAATCAGTGTTAAATAAGCTTTAATAAAAGCTATATACAGCTGGTGGCTGTAGACATATCCCTACAGGGAAATACAGGCAGGTACAGCAAAGTCTTTGGGCTCAAGCTTAGCAGGAAGAAGGAATCTGGGCTCTGACCATACTGCTTCTGACACTTCAGAAGTGGCTGGTCTTTCACTTTGGCACTGTTACAGATTTATAAGGTAATTCAGATAAACTGGAGGCTTTGCATACATGAAACTGTTCAATTCAGTGAATTCAGTTAGTGTTTTGCTTAAATGTAATGGAGCAGGAATGTACTTCCACTCTGAAATTCATATGCTCTGTGTTGGTGATGGTATAACCAAGCTTTTGTTGTCTTTAAATGTCTGTTCCACTGATTCACAGCTTTGTGAGTTTAACAGTCTCTTTTAAAAATCTGTGTCTGCTTTTCAGGCTTGTCTTCACTGACTTAGCTCTCTTTCACTGGACTGTAGTTGGCTTCTTTATGCTGGAGTAAGAAGCTACATTATAACTGAGCTGGTGTTGATGTGTGTGAATGTAGGATTCTTTCTGATCCTCTTCTTAAGCTCTTCAGACAGCAATTTGAACTTCTTTTCAGGCCAAGAGATCTTAAAACCTTCTGTGCTGTATTATTTTAATGATTCTTAAATCCTTCCCAGTGCCTTTGTTTCTTTAATGCAAGTAGATGCAGTATTCTGCTAGTTTCCCAAGAGACATATGCAGGGGTAATGCTGCTTCCATACTACTCAGTGTTATTCTTTGTTCACCAGAATTTAGTCAGTAAGAGGGGGAGAGGGTTTGGTTACTCACTGTCATCTCTGAATTCATATTTTATGATGGACAGATTAACATCTAAGGCATTGATTCCTCTGTTAAAAAAAAAAATAAATCTGCAGTGGTTCAGCACTAGCTTCAGAGTGCAGTACTGTGGTTAGACACAGCACCTGGGTACAGTGCCACTTAACAGAGAGTCCAGACTTTCTCCATTTCTTTTGCAGCCTAAGCTTTTCTCATGTTTTGTTGGAGGAGAGAGGGCAAGTAAGGAATAAGGTCATCCTGAGTAGAATCCAGCTGCTTCTCCTTAGCTCAGGCTAATGTATGTTGAAGGTACAGGTACATCTCCTTAAAATAGCTGTCTTGAAAGAATCAAGTAACTCTGTGCTCAGCGTTTGCGTGGGACATTTGACCACCATTGTTTCTCCAGAAGTTTTTCTGAGCCTCCTCAGAATGGCGTAGTTGAAATTTTGCATGTTCAGTGACTTGGCTCTATTTGGTGGATGTGTATATATCAAGACCTGTCATCCTAGGAGCCCTTCCTTGTCAGAGTACCACTGGGGGGAATGTGTGACTC